GGTTGGTGAGGTCAAGGTCCATGGATGAAACGCATAGGCGACCTGCAAGTACGGTGTACTTCACACACAGCTTCGTCTGCTCGCTGCTGAGCAACCACTACGGAGTGCTACGCCCTTTTCCTTGACCTTCCTCTCCGCATCCATGGCGGACTCAGTTGGAATGGCGAAGGTGCCACATAAAGTCGCTGCAGGCTGCCAGCATAGGTTTCCTTTCTTCTTCACTTCACCGAAGTACTCCTTGCCGAACCAAGTTCCGGAGAGCAAGGTCCGGAGCATGTTCCGGAGCAAGTCCCCGAGGCTAGAACTTTTGGAGCAGGTTCTGATATTGCTGCCCCGATATGCTGACATCATTCGTGTTGTCACGCTGATATGCTTGTGTGGTGTCCCTTGACATGCTGTCATGTTCGCGCACTGGCATGGGTCACGCTACCTTGCTGACATGTTGTCACGCCGAGATGCTGCAGTCGGGTCATGCTGTTGCGCTCACTTGCTTGCAGACTCCAGAGCGGGTTCCGGAGAAGGTTTGCTAGTTCTTGCTTGTAGTGGCGCTTTTGCTTGTGGACCGAAAAGGTTGACACTTCTGAAGACAGCAGCTTCTGGCAAAGATGCGACACTTGCTGCTGAACTTGCAATGGTGCCATTGCCTGGTAGGCGGATTTTGCTGCCCGGATTTTGCTGCCCAGCTGTTGGGGTTCATGTGAGCTTCTTTGACAGCTTGTTGTCTCAGTGATTTTTTGCGTGTTTTGCTCAGTGTTGGCCTTACTTCTTCAGGACGCCTCGGTGGAGCAGAGATTTATTGAACCTGCGGAAGATCCAGGTGGAAAGTGCAAAGAAGTGTTTGCATTGACCGCGCTGAGAAAATTAAATGCACAATAGGAACTGTACAAGTCTTCGCAGCCTCAAAGGAAACTTTAGCAAAGATGAGGAAGTATGCTGAGGCAGAAAAAACCAAGGCCGGGTGTTTTTTTGTTTGTTCCAACAAAGCCCGCCCCTTCGCTTGGCCACAGCGTGGTGGCACAGCAGGCCCAGGCAGACAAACTCGAAGCGAAAGAACACAACCAGTGGAAGGAGATTTTGCGCAAACTGAGCAAACCCATTGTTTTGGAAAAACGCACGTAGTTTTGGCCTGTTGCGTTGTTTTAAGGACGTGCCACCGAACCTGTTCCGTGGTTGGTAGTTCGATTGGGCAAACATTTTTGACGGAACAATTGGGAAGGACAATGATTCGTCCGAGGAGAAACGAGAAGCTAGGATTGCTGTCATGGAAGAGCAGCCTTCTTCTCAGTGCAAAGCGCGTTTCAAATCTTCTAGGTGTAGGTACTCGAGGTGCTTCAGTGTACTTCAGGGCATTTCATTTTTGACCGCAGGTTTTTACACAAGCAACAGCTGGAAATGGGAGGTCTTTTGAAGCGTCTCAAGTTTGGGGCTTGGAGTTCAAACAGTGCTTTGAGACCCTGCTTCAATGCAGTGCTCTTTGCATGTTCTCTTGAGGGCCTCTCGAGAAGAATTGCGCCGGTCCCGCAAAATGGAGATGGAACGCTTGCTACAACGACGCTTGAGCCAAAGAAAAGCCAAGAAAACATTGGAGACATAGTGAAGATGTTGAGTTGTTCGCAAATGGTCTGGTGGCAGCTGAATGGGCCAGTGAAGTGTGCGTATGGCTAAACGCGAGCTAGCCTGTGTCTCGTTGGAAGCTGAACGTAGAAGACGAGACAAAACAGGACAAAATAGAAACAAGAAGCTACTAGGAGCAAGTGCATCGCTACTAGTAACAAATGCCTTACTAGTAGTAAGGTTTGCTATTAGGAACAAGTGCTCTAAGGTATTAGAACGTCGGACCGGTCGCATCGTGGCGGGCACGGACCCGAAGGTCGTTCACTCCGCTGCGGCTCGATGGCGCTCGCGGTGAAGCGCGCACACGCACGGCGCACGCACAGAAACACGTCAGTTGTGTTCACACAGTGTTTTTTTGGCACCGATCTGTGAGATCCTCTATTTGTTCTCTGTTTTGTTCATATTCTGATGGTGTGATATCCGTGTGCAACTTGGAAGGTCTTAAACTGAACTAGCTTTGTATGTCACCAATGTAGAATAATTTTGGCTGAGGATATCAGAATTTGAAAATGCAGATGGAGAATCAGCAGCGTATTATCCAGCAGCGTGTCGAGAGGCTCCACAGTTGTCTATTCAAGTGATTTCATGAATATTTGTGTCCTTTTGTGTCAGGTATCCGATCACAGCACCTATGGCAAACACCTCACGCCCATCAAGTGGCCCGTGGATTCCTTGAGAATCATTTTGAATTCGGCAAGCGGGTCTTTCTTCTCGCGCCCAGGTGACGTGCGCAGGTGACACCACCGGTAAGGCCTAAACTCGGTGCCCGAATTAAGGTTTCACCTCCCGCAAAAGAAAGACGTTTCCGAAGCAAAGCAGTGACTGTCCAAGCTCCGAACTGCAATCACTGAAGCGCCGTCTAACAAGTGGTCAATTCTGTTGGATTGAGAAGTTCTAGTGTCAAACATGTTCATGGCTTGATCTGGCTTGATTCTTGGCCCAAGTCCTTCAAGATTCAAAAATTTTGGTGGCAAATGATTGTTCAAACTGAGAGCTTGTCAATCACGAAAGCACGTTACGTTACTTCAGTCAAATTCACTTGGTTCGACTCGGTCCAACTCAGTCGTTCTTCTTTCGGCTTCTTTTGACTCGGTCCAACATGGAGGACTACCGCGAGGCCGGCCCTGTGGCGTCAGGGTGTTCTCTTCTCACCTCAAATATAGGGGTATCTTTACCGAGAGCTATGGGGTTTCTTACTTCAAGTATAGCAAGAGGTGCCCGTGTGCACTTTGGAGCCTGGATGCTGCTGCTGCCGCCAGATGTTCATTGGCAGTATGCGCTTTTGGGGGCTGGGGAAGTCTAGCGCTTTGAGCCCGTGCGCTGGTGCAGCTGCAGAGGTGCCGCTCCAGGTTGCTGCTGCGAGGTGTCTGTGTCCATGTGCGCTGTGGAGCTTGGGTGCCGGTGCCGGTGGCCGCTGCACCTTACCGCTGCAGGGTGCACCAACATGCCGCTTCGGAGATGGTCAACTTCAAACAAGTCATTCTGGGCCATAGAGAACCAGACAGACAAAACATCTAGAATGCAATTTTCACGAAAGTAGCAAGAGTTGTTGGGGTTCTTTGATAGGAATAAGTGCCTGTGTGTTGATGTTGCTGGAGGCCACTGCGGGGTGCCGCTACCAGATGTGTATGGCTTGTGTGTGCACCAGCCAGATGTGCATGATAACGTGGGCTGCGTTGTTGCCACTGCAGGGTGCCGTTCCAAGGTCTATGGCCGTGTGCACTTTGGAGCTTGGGCGTTGGTTCCGTTGCAGAATGCCGGTGCCAAATGTGCACGCCGTTTGCGCTTTGTGTGCCGTTGCAAGGTCCAGGTGTTCGTGCCAGATTCCGATGTCCATGGCAGTGTGCGCGGTGGGGGCTTTGTTGGTGCTGCTGCAAGGTGCCGCTGCAAGGCCTCCTTGTCTCCAATGGTTGTTCTCAATGCTGGGCTGAGATTTTACTTGGTTTCCCTTTTCCGCTTTCATTCCCAAGCAGGTTTTACTGTGGGTTCAAGTGGCCACAGTTGTTCTAGCCCACTTGCTCTTAATTCTAGCTTGGCTCCTTCCCCTTTGTCCACGCTCCCGGGCCGGGCCAACAGGCCATGTGCCTCGTTTGATCCGAGGCCCAAAGGGCCAAATGGAAAGCGCAGAAAGAAGTGACTGAGGCGGGAGACGACAAGTTGGAAGAGGGAATGCAAACAAAGGAGCGCCTAGTAGCATCTTGGCTCCTAGTAGCGATGCCAGGAGCCCCTAGTAGCATCTTTGCTCAGTAGCTTCTTGCTCCTAGTAGTAAGGCCAGGAGCTCCTAGTAGCTTCTTGCTCCTAGTAGCGATGCCAGGAGCCCCTAGTAGCATCTTTTCTCAGTAGCTTCTTGCTCCTAGTAGTAAGGCCAGGAGCCCCTAGTAGCGTCTTTCTTGCTCCTACTACTACTAAGACAGAAACACTAGTAGCATATTGGCTCCTAGTGTAGCGATGCCAGGAGCGTCTAGTAGCTTCTTGCTCCTAGTAGTAAGGCCAGGAGCCCCTAGTAGCATCTTTGCTCGGTAGCTTCTTGCTCCCAGTAGTAAGGCCAGGAGCCCCTAGTAGCGTCCTTGGTTCTAGTAGGGGCCCCTAGTATCTTCTTGCTCCTAGTAGGAAAGCCAGGAGCAGTAGCTTCTTCTTGCTCCTAGTAGGAAGGCCAGGAGCCCCTAGTAGCTTCTTGCTCCTGGTAGCAAGGCCAGGAGCCCCTAATTCCTAGTAGCGATGCCAGGAGGCCTTAGCTTCTGTGAGCGACGCGAACGGTCTTGGCCGCGTCGACGGCCAAACGCGCGCGCGCTGCTGTTTATCGCTCACGAGTTCAGTCCGAGCGGTCGTTCACGCGGTGAAACAGAGCTAAGCGGCTACCTGCAGCTACCTACCGAGCTCAACCTCAAACCATTCCGGCTTGAGCCAAAAGTGAATCACATGCAACAGTGACACTAGAGGGCTACGCATGCTTCTAACCACATTCGCCCCTCAGCCGGAGAGACTCACAGTGGCTGCGGCTGCTTAAGCTGCGTAGCTCGCGGTGACGGTCCGAAGCGTGACACGCCGCCCGCAGGGCTAGCCAGACTGGTCAGTCCAGGGAAGCCGAACTCTGCTTCCTGCCGCCTTCGGCTTTTGATCCTGCGAGGACTGGAAGTCGGCTTCATCAAACACCTGACTCTCTTCCCAGTCCTCTTCGAAGTGCTCCTTCTAGGCTTGGAACACTTGGTGATCCACATCAGCGGTGATCACCACTGTTTGATTCCCTGTTGGCCTTGGAGCGTGTAGTCCAATTACAGCTCCCGACCAAAAAGTGTCCAACCTTCTCATGTTCCACTCGAGTGTTGGATCCCTCGCAAGCCCAACCCTGCCGCCGTTGACCTATTGTCCTCTGCGTAGGCTTTGCTCAGGGCATCATCATGCTCTGAAGTTGCATCTTCGTACGAGACTTGTGTGTCACCCCAGCGTCCACCAGGATTCGCACGAACCCCTGATGACCCTTGATCATCTCGACCACATCTGGTTGGTCGAAACTGTACGCCGTAACTCGTACGGACGCTTTTGGGTTCTGCCGCAAAAGCTCAACAGCTCGAACCTGCGCGTCCTTGTTTCGGACATACTCGATCTCCAGGTTCTGGATGGCGGGAGCGTTTTCCAACGCCAGCTGGACATTCAAACCAGCGGTTGCTTCCTTCGCCGCCCGGTCGTCTAGTTTCAACTGCGCCTGACGAGTCATTTTGCTGACTCCCCCAAGACAAACAGTTTCCGACCCTTGCAAACCCGGAGGTGACGACGGCTTAGACCACAGTTCTCTGGCCTTCTTCGCGACCCCTTCAAAACATACCCTCTTTTCCCGGGTCGCATTTTCCGCGCCCCCCCAACGCCAGCAATGAGGGCCGTGCCTTTTTCAGCCGCGGAGCCTCTGGCGAACCTGACTTCTTTCTCAGGATACACCTTCGAGCTTCCCCTACGGCCGAGTCAATGTGGCCGCAAATCGCACTGGCGAGGTACGCCCTACAAGCGCATGCCCCTTGGCCATCCTCTCCGATCCAGACTCGGTGGACACCTCTTCCTCCAGTGACGGCTGACTTCGAATTCTTCGAAGGCTTGAGCTCCAAGAGACGGGCTGGTAGGGAGTTGCCATCATGGCTCGAGACTTGACCAAGATACGACAATTCTTCTTGTCACTTGACCAAGACTTCCTCGACTCGGCTATTGTCCTCTGGCATAGGATGTGAGCGCGTCAACAATTTCCTCTGCTCCCTGCTCAGTCCGTGAGACCAGCGGAACTGCAGCCAAGCATTTTTATCCAGCCAGGGCCGTTCCCATTCAGCGCATGCTGAAGGCGGTTACGGCTCTTTTTACTCAGCCATGAACGGATGGTCCGGGGGGTCCGCCGTTCCTTTTGCCGAACCAGTCGGACGACGGAGCGTGTTGAAAGCTTAAGGACCGCGGCAAGCCTTCCGAAACGGAAAGACCCGCCCGCGAGACCCTGCAGCTTCGGAGAACATCGGCGAGGACCTTTAGCTCGTTTGGACTGGTTGGTATGCGTCCTCCCGCACCGGCGCACCTGTGCGCTTCCGATGTTTTGTTCACCCTCTCTTGCGCCTTCTCCTTTCTGGGACGCCCTCTAGGCTGGCAGCCACCCTTCTCTAAGCACCTGCCACGGCGACAGCCACACGCCTGAGTTCTCTTCCTTCTGGCCTTAGTTCTGAAAGACTCGAGCCGTATAGTCATACTGCGGCTTACTCCCTTCCTGGACTGGCTCAGAACCGGAGGAGTTGATTGGCAGCATACGCTTCCGCGCCTGCCTTCATCAAGCTTTCCAGACGTTCTCTTCGGGCGGCATCCGCGGCGGTGCCTCCCTGAGAGTGATCTGCCAACATGGCAGCCTGCGACGATGTCTGGAACCCATGCCTGATTTCCGCTGCAGTGGCGTTGGCCAAGGCCTGCTCCACGGCCCTAACCCTACCTAGGACACCTTGCGACGTGACTCCAAGCGCGCGCCAAGCGAGCGCCTTCTGGCGCCTCCTCAACTACTTCAAGACGAGGCGCACTGGATGCGCTAGCCGCGGCGTCGCTCTCGAACCGAGAAACAACGCCCGCAGGCTTTCCCACCTTCACTGCTCACCGACCGGCAGAACTTCGAGAAGCGCCATCCTTTCGTGGCGATGTCGCCTGGCATGACGCGCCCTTCAGCTGAGGTTCCCGCTGCAGTGCTTGGAGCTGCGGCACGCCCCTCAGTTGTCGCCTCCTCCTGGCGCTCTGTCAGCTAGCGCGGCGCGCTCCCTTTCATGGCGGGCCTCCAACTTAAACATCTCATCTATATACGCCGGTCGCTGACCAGGTGGTCGTCATCGATAGGACATTTGCCCTTGATTCCCGTCCGACCCATGCACAGCCGGCAACATCCATCCTTCTGCCACAACTCCTCTGGCAGATGGATCCACCAGAAGTTTGGCAGCTCACCTTCACACCCTTCCGGGATTCGAGCCCGAGACCTTCTCGCCGGCGCAGCGGAATGTTCTCGTTCCGGCGCCTCCTTGGTCTCTTCTTGAGCCTTCTCAATCGCCGTTCCAAGGTCTGGAACACCGGAATCGATTGTTGCAAACACCGGCGTCGTCTGCTCCGCTGAAGACCCTTCCTTTTTGACGTGAGATGGCGAGGAGGGAGCGCCGATCACCTTGACCTTGAAAGAACTCTCAAGAACTCTTGAGGGCGCATTGGAGGTGAGCAAAACTCCGTCGGGACCATACCGCACTGTCGCCTCGCTGTCCCAGAGCGCTTGGATCGTGGTGTGGATCACCGCCGTGCTGTCGGCTCTGAACCCCACAACGGGATTGCCCCTATAGACGGTTTCCTTCCGACCGTCCGGTGGACAGTGAGCCGCGCGCTTTGCGAACCGCCGCCGGCCAGCAACCCAAAGTTGCAGATCCCCGACACCCTTTCCAAATCGGTGCCGTGCCACATATCCGAAAATGGCGACAGCTGGCGCTCGCGAAGGCTGCGCCTCCGCTTCCTCGTAGACAGCGCTAGCGTCCGCTATCCCGAGGCCCGCGCTATGCCCGCAGAAGGCTCGGACGCGTGTCCGGTCCTAGGCTCGCTCAGCTGCAAGCGCGGCTTCACGTTCCCGGCATCTGCTTTCACCACCTGAATCAACCAGGATTCAGGAACGCCAAAGAGCTGCGAGGACCGCGACAAACAGTCCGAACAGGCAGTACCCCATCTCCTGCAAGTCTTCGGCGGTTCTTCCGGTCCTTAGATCCTTTGCGTTTTCCTTTTCCGCCCATTTCTCCTAGCTCCGCGCCGCGGCTTTGAAGACAGGAACCAACGGCCGCATGCTGGTCAACCAAGACCGACCAACTCAGACGCTCGAGAGTCAAGAAGCGCTCGGTGCCCAACCCGCCCCGCGTCCCTCCCGCGAGCCGAGCCGAAACGGCTGCCGACAAACCTGGTGGAGTGATTATGGTCCGAAACGACTGGGTTGTGCTTCCCCTTCTTTTCTCCTAAGCCCTTAGGGTTAATCCTTGGCGCTTCCAGCGCCGTGGACGTGGGCTGGCCTACCTCTACTGGTGCTCTACGGCAGGCTTCCTTAATCTCAGCATCCGCTTCTTCATCTGTCAGAAAGCGGCCGTCAACGACCCGTCCTGTCCTCACGCTCAGATCATCAACGTAGGCGATCCATGCCTTTGTGTACTTCATTTTCCTGCCTCTGCCAGGTCCATATGCTCTGTCCCACCACAAAGCAGAAATCATCAGGACCCCCAGTAGCTTCTAGCTTCTTGCTCCTAGTCCTAGTAGTGATGCCAGGCTCCTACAGTGAGGGCCCCCCTAGTTAGAGAAGTTATAAGTATCTTAAGTATGGTTTTAACTTGGATAAGTATGGTTTTAACTTTGTTAACTTGGTTAAGTTCCTTAAGTTCTATCCGAAAGTTAGCCTACTTGTAGCTTAGTTATAAGAGTTGTGGAAGTTATGTCCAAAAATAGCTATCGAACTTACGGAAGTTATGTCCAAAACGTCTGAAACTCAAAACTTTTTCTCAAGCTGCAAAAATTTGATGCCCAGGACCTAATTCTAGTGTTTTTAATATAAAATCTTTGTTTTTTAAGTTGGACGCCGATGTATCAATTTTTTTGAGTCTGCGCATCTGTTTTTGCGAAATTGTTTTCACCTCTGTTTTTGTTTGTTTGGCGGCATTCCGCCTTGTTGTGGTTTGTTGGTTTGGCGGCATTCCGCCTGGTTGTGTTTTGTCTTGTTGGCGGTTGTCCGGTGGTATCCGGGTGGTATCCGCTGGTATCCGGGTGGTATCCGGGTGGTATCCGCTGGTCTCCGGGTGGTATTCCGCTTTGTTGGCGGCATTCCGCCTTGTTGTGGTTTGTTGGTTTGGCGGCATTCCGCCTTGTTGTCTTTTGTTTGTTTGGCGGCCCATATACACATTTTGAAAGAGTCCTGTCTGGCATCAAAAAAACAAGAAAAATTTTAAAAATCTGGCTATAACCATTTTTTCTATACATTTCATATGGTTTTAGACAAAAACCTAGGTTTTACAAGTTTCTTTGCATACGCATACCTGATTCGCAATTTTTAACCATTTCTGACGCTCAAACTAGTTACGGAAGTTACTGAAGTTAATAACTTCCGTAACTTTAGTTATAACTTAGTTATAAGTTAACTTCTATAAGTCCCGTATCTCAAGTTATAAGTCCCGTAACTATGGGGGCCCCTCACTGATATAGTAGTAAGGCCAGGCGCCCCTAGTAGCGTCCTTGCTCCTAGTAGCGATGGGATCAAAACGGGAGGGTGCAAGGACGGCCGGCCACCGAAAAGAAATCGCAATGTTTGTCGTCGCCTCGTGAGAAGTTTCTGCGTTTGGTACCGCTTGGACCAGGAGGTCCTTTCACCACATCAACTCTGGTCGGGAGAGCCACTCAAAGAGTTCGCTCGAGCCGAAGTGAGCTGCGTATCAAGCCAAGCCGAACAAATTGAAGTATCAAGTTCGCGCGAATGACAAGCGTCCTTATTTTCCCGAATGCGTAGCGAAGGTTTCTCGTTTAACTCTGGGGGTCTGGGGGTGGAGCCTGGTTTGCGATGCGTTGTTCCTACAAGAGTGTCCCGTAAGAGGCTCCCACAAGAGTGTCCCATAAGAGTGACCCACAAGAGTGTCCCACAAGAGTGTCCTACAAGAGTGTCCCGTAAGAGTGTCCCATAAGAGTGTCCCACAAGAGTGTCCTACAAGAGTGTCATTTGGACATATGTAGCTTTTCGAACGGGTTTGCATTCGGGTTCGTGGGCTCCATCTTTTTATTTTGAACAAGTGATTATGACCAAAGCATGCTGAGGTCGCAGAGACAAGAGATCAAAGTGAGACAACCCCGAACAAACCTCCCAAGAAACTGAGAATACAGAGTAAATCAAAAAGAGAACGACTCCAAGTCGGATCGTGAGTGCAAACATGCAAGCATGGTCTTTTGCCCTCGTGTCCAGATCGCATCCAACATTAAAAGTGTTTTGTGTTTTCGAGCTCTTCCAGATCCGTTGTTTTGTTTCTTTTCCCCCGCCATAGCCACTTTCACACCACCTCTGGTAGCGTGACGCGTGCGCCTTGAGCGCTGTGCGCTCCCCTTCTGCTTCTCAGCAAGTAGAATGCCTTGAACGATGCGCAGGGTTGCAACCGGAATGCAAGTCCAGTTGGCAATTCTTTGGGGACAGACCTCAGCAAGCCTTCAGGTGACACGCGACGCCCCATGGATGTAGACCGTGTGGAGAGAGGCAAAGACAAGGGCAAGCAAAAGGAAAAGAAAAGGGTAAAGGCAAAGAGAAGGGTGGATGGCTTGGAGACAAAGGCAAAGGGAACAGTGACCTGCAATCAAAGATGCCCTGAAGATGGCTTCAGTGATAGCAGGTCTCCCAGCAAGATTGAGCTCGTGTGCCAGAGCTGAGTGAAGGAGGATTGCACTTCACAGTGAAGCAGGTGATGCTGCTTGGTAAAAGGACGCAGGAAAGCAAGGAGGCAAGAAGGAGGTAAGAAAGGTAAGACAAATGATTAGGTTACAAAGGTAAGAGTTCTTGGTCCAAGGATAGAGGCTAGAAGGGCAATGGAGGAAAGTCGCCAGGCAAACAAGGTGGCAAGAAAGGGAAGGGTCTAACCCGCAAGGATATAATCGTGCACATTCCATAAATTCATTCATTTGCACATTCCAATGAGATGATTCATTTCACTGTGTTCTTCATTTCCAATGGTGGCGACGTTCCATGTGTGGCCAGGATTCTGAACAAAGGGAGGGAGCGCCGGGGGGCACCAGGGGCAAGTCAAAGCTCAGAGGCCGCAAACGAAGACTCTGAGAGTCGCGACAAAGAATTCGTGACAAAGGTCGAAAGTCGAAGAGAGTCGCACTGACAAACTGACAATTGCTTCTAGTCGCATGTTTAGAGGTGCTGAACATGTTTTTGTCTCAGGTGGTGTCTTCGAACATGCAGCTCAGTTGGAATTGGAAAACGGGCAAGTGCAAAAACTTCCTCAACCCTAAGGAGTGTGCAGAATGCCGTGCAGAATGCCGTGCAGAATGCCCGCAGGGTTCACATTCTTCCTGTGCATCCTTGCTCTTGTGAGCAGGATCAGCCCGGTCCTTAGTGTTGAAAGTGTTTTGTGTCACAATTTCGCAATCTAGGCGTCTCATTGTATTGGCACCAGTTCTGCGGAAGATGCGCGCAGATCAGGTGCATTAAGTTGGAATGTATGGAAGCAGACATTTCATGTTTGTTGTGAATTGTGCAGACAGTGTGATTTTCAATAACTAGCAAACCAACATCGTAACATATCGTAACAGTGCAACTTTGAGACTGCTTATGTTTGTCCTATTAACTCAAAAGGTCCTGAACCTGTTAGTGCGTTTAGTTTTGGCTGCATTTGCGTCAGGCATTTCAGAATTCTCACATCTTAAATTCCACACTTTTAGACGCTGGCAATGCGTCATGTCTCGGATTCGCGAGCTTGCTCGATCGCAGGCTCACACATTCGAAGCTTCAATTCATATCTTTTCGGAGTTCCTTTTTGAGAATCTGAACAATTTTTCATATTCTTCAATGCTCCTTCAGAAAAACACATATAATTTGTGAGAGTGACCGTGGTTCCATGTCACGACACCTTTTCCCTGCGTGTGTCGGCCTGAGTTTCGAGTACCGCCATCTGACGATGGCTCAAGCTTCGCGCCTTGGAAAAGGCTTCGCTTTGCCGCTCCAGTTTCAAACTGGCAGCGGAGCCGGTCGATCCGGCTTTGCTACTCGTTTTCTAGCCCGGTGCGCTCCATGGCTTCATTGAAGAGCTTGAAGATCGCACTATGGAAGTCAGCTTCTACACCGAAGATCTTCAAGAACGCCATGAGGAGATGGATCTTGGCCTTCTGGATGGCATCTCTGATGACAGAGATCTTGCACCTGCTCGAGACCTACGGCCAGATCATCTCAACCAAGGTGAACTTGAACGTCAAGAGCTGATGGAAGAGAAGCCGCCTGACACTGGAGGCCCTGAGATGAGCCGAGAGCATGACCGCCGCATCAAGTGGCTGAAGATTCCAAGATCTACAAGGCTTGCTTTGAGAAGGCTTCACAACATGACCGGCCACAGCCCTGTGTCTGGGATGCTTCAACTTCTTCGCACAGCTTGCGCCTCACCTGGAGTGACTGAAGCCTGCAAGCATTTTGCCTGCGAATCGTGCAGAAAGACTGTCAAGGTGGACAGACCCAACGCCACCAAGCTGCCGACCAAACCGGTCTTCAACAACGAGGTGAGCGTTGATTGCCTTGAACTTCGAGATAGCGGAGGCAATCGGCGCACCATCCTCTCAGCCGTTGACATGGGACACTATATTACCAGGCATGGTGGGTCGCTGGAGGAGGAGTCCCAAAGTCATCGGTGTGTGCTGAAGCTTTCCTCAATGGCTGGATCATGACGTTTGGAGCACCACAATCCGTGGTTTGTGACCGTGGCATGCGCAACCAAGGTCGTATGAAAGATCTGCTCCGGATCTATGCCATCAACCTCCGCTACATTGGAGTGGAAGCACCACACCAACTGGGTCGAGGCGAACGCCATGGTGGATTGTTCAAAGAGCTCATCTATGCCAGCGTGGAAGAACGCCAGGTCATTGGCGTGCAACAAGTGAAGATGCTGGTCACTGAAACCTGCATGGTGAAGAACATGAAGCTCAACCACCTTGGGTTCACGCCCTACCAGTGGGTCCTGGGCAAACTGCCCATTGATGCAACGTCGCTCATCGAAGAAGAAGCTGATGGTCGATTGCTTGGAGTACATGAAGAGATTCAAGAGCCAGAGGATGAGTTTGGTTTGAGGCTGCAAATCCGTCAAGGAGCCAAGATGGCCTACACCAAGGTCGGCAGCAGCCGCCGAGCGCGATCTGCAAGCCGTCCCAATCCGAGGTCCATATCAACCAGGAGATCTTGTTTGCTTCCACCGCCGAGGACGATGGCATGGATGGACCTGGGAGGATCATCGGAAGAGATGGCAGGGCTGCAGTTTGGATAGTCCATGGAGGAGTTCCATTGGTGGCACCTGAGAATGCCCTTCGACCTGCTTCAAGCTCAGAGATCTATGCAAAGCAGATCTTGGAACTCCGACCTTCAAGAAAGCGCATGCGAGAAGTCATGCGTGACAACCCGACCGAGGAGCACATCCCGTTTGCTGAAGACTACCAACTTCGCAGTTGGCCTGATGATGGAGAAGCTCAACCCAACTTCGTGGAGATTCCACAAGTGTCAGGGCCTTCGCCTGTTGATGCAGAAGAGTATGAGCCTTCACTACCTCCTGAAGCTGAAGCACCAGCGGGAGAACCTGAAGCACCCGTTCCGGGACTTCCTCAAGTACAAGAACAAATGGAAGAAGTGATGGAGCAAGTCCCAGCTCCACAAAGTGAAGAGCCTGAGGGGGAGATCATCCCAGACACCCCCACGCAACAGCCAGTGCAACCGGCTGAAACTCAGCTTCAACAAGCTATGAGAAGATCGCTCGATCAACTTGATGGGCATCCTGCACCACCACCTGGCTTGGGAGCTCGACAAAGATCAAGGTCACCACTTCGAGAGGCTCGCAATGTCCGCATCCCTGAGGACAATGCGATGATGAGCTGAAGCGAAGCGTTTCCACTGCTTCGTTGCAAAGCGCTTCCAGACCAAGAACCGCAAGAAAGCTGGAGCTGGCAGAGAGCTGAACTATGACAAGGAGACGGCCGAAGTCCAAGAGAAGCTGAATGGCGCCCGCCTCAAAGAGTGGGGCAACTGGAAACAGTTCTCGGCCGTGGACGTGATCCCACCTGACAATGTCGAGCAGTTCAAGGAGGAGAACCCTGACGCTGAGATTTTGCAAAGCCGATGGGCGGACACCAACAAGGCTGAAGAAGGCGAGCCCGACATCTTGAAGTCGAGGCTTGTGGTCAGAGGCGACTTGGAGGAGAACCAAGGAGTCCGCACCGACTCTCCAACCGCGACCCAGCTGTTCCTGAACTTGATCATTTGCTGGGCGGCAAGCACTGGATCCAAGCTCCGATCTGGTGACATCAGTGCTGCATTCCTCCAGGGT